TCATGATCCCAGGGTCCTGGGATCGAGCCCCGCATCGGGCTCCCTGCTCGGCGGGAAGCCTGCTTCTCCCTCTCCCACTCCCCGCTTGTGTTCCTGCTCTCGCTGTCTCTCTCTCTGTCAAATAAATAAATAAAATCTTAAAAAAAAATCTGCTGTCATTCTCAATTTTTATCTACAAAAATATCCTAAACAAAGCAGTGCCAATGATTAAGATGTTCCCAAATTAGGAAATGGAACACTGAAGTTATAGGAAACTGATGGCCAAGTTCTAAACGTAAATACGTCAGGAAATTAAGCCAAGGAGCATTCCACTGGTCAGGATGGTCAAAGTAGGAAGCTGAGATTCTGGCAGGTAATGGCAGAGAGGAAAGACAGCGTGTATCACCCAAGGAGCCAGACACCAGATGTCAGATAGAATAGCAGACAGTATTTCATGTGCCCCTGTGTATTTCATATGCACCGCACTGTGTATGCTGCCAAACAGAAAGACAAGGTCCCAATTGCTGTAGCTTCTCTAGAACCAAAAATGATCACCAGTATTGCCCAGTATTTTTTTTATTATGAACTTAACTTAAACTACCTAAGGCCTATTAAAATGTACTCAAGGAATTCCAAATGCTGTTTCAGTTATAGTCAATGTGTTCAACATACAATTTTAAAGTTTCTTTTTGGGGCGCCTGGGTGGCTCAGTCGGGTTAAGCATCTGCCTTCAGTTCATGATCTCAGGGTCCTGGGAACAAGTCCCGCATCGGGCTCCCTGCTCAGCGGGGGGTCTGCTTCTCCCTCTCCTTCTGCCTCTCCCCCCCCCCCACACTCTCACTCACTCGCTCACACACACCCTCTCTCTCAAATAAATAAAATCTTTAAGAAAAAAAGTTTCCTTTCAGTTTATATTATTCAATGGTTAACTTCGAAGGAATCCTATTTTACCTTCTCATCAATTTTAGAATTTCTGACATCTTTGAGATTTCAGAAAATCTGGATTGTGGCAGCACAGAAGTTAGTGGGCAATCACGTAAAAGCAAAAATCTCCAAAACTTTCTTTGGTCAAGGGATACGCCTGGAGCATGGGGATTCTGACCTCACTGGCAATTAGGCTAAAACATCTTGACTTCCGTAATAACTACCACGGTAAAAAGGAAATGCTCAAATTCCCAGCAACCTAGTCACGCTCCTGCAGGCTCGGTAGGAAGTGAGCACCAGAGAAGACGGGAGAAAGAAACACAACTAGCTCTTCTATGACGTCAGTCTGCAGAGGGGCCAGATCTGCAGTTGATCCACAGATTTCACCCATGGACAAATACGAACATTCAGCCCTACAGCTGTTCTGATGAGCCACCCTGAGTAAAAAAAGTAAAGGACTGTCAAATAAAAGTACCTGATGAAGACTCGGTATTGTTCGACTTTTTCCAGCAGATGCAATTTATAACTCCAGTGCTGTCATCTACTGCAAGAGAAGCAGAAAAGGGCAAAAGAGAGATTTGGGCACTGCCAGTGAATTCGCAGGTCGTCACTGCATTCGGCCATACCCCAAAGTGACATTTTTCAACAGCCCGGTCTGGGAACTGCTTGTCTGCATGGGTCGCTGGCATAGGAGAGCCTAGCGGAAGGTAGTCAACATTTCACTTACCCTGCCGCTCCTAAAAAACGGCGTCCTCGGGAAGTTAAGTATAAAAATCTCAATGAATGCTCACATACAAAATCGGCCTTGCTCTCCCACCGTGAAGCAAGAGTGTGCTGACACAGCCCGTGGCTGAGAGGACTCGCGGCGCAACCTTCTCTCACCGTCTGCTCTTTCACTAGCTCGATGACTTCCCAAGACAAAGCATCCCAAATTTCCTGACCCGCACGTCTCTTTGTGAATGAGCTTCTGCCCAGTCCTTACCACTGAAGGGGACATAAGGAAAGCCAACTATATTGCAGAAGAGCAGAGTTTTGTTTTCATAATGGAAAATAATTATATTTTGATCACATAAATAATTTTGGCTTATTTTATCCCTAGTGCAACACACACACACAGAATTTCCATTGCACTTGGATTTATAACTGCAGAGGAACTGGAGATGTTTGCTATGAGAGGTGTTTTCTCTTTGTCTAATTTCGGAAAACTCAAAAAAAGAGATCAGTGGGCTTAATGATTTTTTAAAAAATCATCAGTGAGACTGTTGTAAATGCACATGTAATACAGAATGTAAGGCAAATTTTTTATTGCTGGTTTAAACCTGAGTTGAAAGCAGAAGCCAAGAAAAATATTTCTTATACTAAAATAAATTCTAAATAGATTTTATTAAATGTAAAACAGGTAAACTTAAAAAAATAAGAAGAAAATATGGGTAAATACTTTTGAACCTTGGGCTTATAGTTGGTGGGAAGAGACTTCTTTAAAGAGACCTGAAAATCAGAACTCATTTTTAAAAGTCTGATATAGATGACCAATTAAAAATTAATACCGTATAGCAATTTTCTAAATGATAGGGCTAGTGTCTTAATGTATAATGAGCTCACAACAGGGGCACCTGGATGGATAAGTCAGTTAAGCGTCTGACTCCTGATTTTGGCTCAGGTCATGATCTCAGGGTTGTGAGATCGAGCCCCATGTCTGCACTCAGCACTGAGTCTGCTTGAGATTCTCTCTCTCCCTCTGCCCCTCCCCCTTCAAATAAATAAATAAATAAATAGCTCATACAAATGAATAAAGAAAAGTCCAAGACCACCAGAGAAAAAATGTCAAGGAAAAAGAACACATAATTTACGGAAGATATAAAAATGGCCAAATAAACATGTGTGAGTACACTAAACTCATTAGTTACCGGAAAAAGAACTTAAATAATTTCTCAACTATTAGAATGACAAACATTAAAAATATTGATACCCTCATATGCTGTTAGTGGGAGTGTAAATTTCTATCAAATTTCTAAAGAGCAAGTTTGGAAACGTGTTGAATTTTTAAATGTGTATGCCCTTTGACTTAGTGATTACTTCTAGGAATTTATCCTGAAGAGAAAAACAGAATACACACACAGATTTATACATCTTGTATAAGGCTGTTTGCTGCAACATTGTTTATAATGCTGTTAGTTGGAGATAATCTAAATGCTTATAAATATGGAACTGGTTAAATAAATTACAATGGCATACCATATGAGAATAAAAAGTTATAGTGAAGATTTATGTTCATTGCTGTTAAAAGATATTCATGCCTCATTTTAAAAAAGAAATCTTATATCTAATTTGTGTAAAACATTAAATAGCGTATTTTGACAGAAATGATTTTAAGACACTGAAATGGTAATAGCAGTTTTTTTTGGAGTGTTGGAAAGGAACTCCACACTGAATGTACATGCTGACTGTAAGCCTCATTTCGGGAATATTAAGAGAAAGAAATATGCATAATAGTACAAGGAAATAAGACATATCTATATTTCTCCAAATAGGAACAAGTGAAAAACATTAGGAGAGATGTTCACCCAAACATTGACATTGCTTTTATCTTATTTATAGGGTTTCATATAATTTTTATGTACTTCAGTAAAATTTTCTCCAGTTTTAAATTTTATTTTATAATGAGTATCATTTTAAAATAAATCAATAAGGACATTCTGAGTTAAAAAAAAACAAACTGTATGACACCTCTAGGCACACCACTTCTCTGCCAGTGTAAAATCCTGGTTTATCATGTAAAGTAAAAAAATATGAGCACATGAACATTTGTTCTAGAAAATGTGAAGACACTGATGGTAGCCTCCCAGGATTCTAGGTCTGAGCCTGAGCTGCTGTCACGTGCTGAATGCTCTGGGCACGGCCACCAGACCCTCAGACTTTCTGGTCTGTAAGGCCTCCTGGCAGGTGCTGTGCCCTGGCAGCCTGAGGTCTGGGGGCTGGAATGCCCCGGAAGGGGAGCATCCTTGCAGAGCCGCACAACATCCGCCCCCGTTGGGCAGCACTGCCTGGGCCGCTGGCCTTCTGTTTCAGCAATGGAATGAGTCAGTGGGAACAGGAAACAGCCCCCAGGCCAGGACGACGGTGAGTCAGGTGGAGCAGGACCCAGGACAGCAAGGAGTGGCCGCCTGGCCGGTGGCCCAAGAGCCAAGCTGGCCCTGAGGATAGCAGGGAGGGTGCAGCTCTCCCCTGAACAGGCCTCACGAGAACTCAAGTTCTTTCTACTCTCAATTACTCCAACCTTCAGATGCTTTTCGGTTTCCCACTGCCCACAGATGTGTCCTGTTCTTCTAACATCCATCCTAAAGAGAACATTTATTGGGGAATAGTCACACCTATCTCCTTAATCTTTTTAGAATGGGAAAGGGGTTAAGTGAAGCCCCTTCACGTCACAGGTGAAGGGGCTTCACTTACAATAATTGGCCTGGTTTCAGGGCCAGGACGAACATCCTCAAACAGCCTCTTTCATGTGACCTAAAAAATAGAAAATCGAAGACCAGATGGGCTCTCTGCTCCTCCGCATCCGGCAAATAGCCGCATCTTCCGGCGCAGGGCCCCAGCAACCCTGAGACACGATAGGGAAGGTCAGAGTAAACGGACTTGGCCCTATTGGGTGCCTGGTCACCAGGGCCACTTTTAACTCTGGCAAAATAGGTGCTGTCGCCATCAATGACCCATCGCTGACCTCAACAACATGGTCTACACACTCTAGTATGATTCCACCATGGCAGATTCCATGGCACAGTCATGGCTGAGAACTGGAAACTTGTCATCAACGGAAAGCCCATCTCCATCTTCCAGGAGTGAGATCTTGCCAACATCAAACGGGGTGATGTGGTGCTGAGTCTGTAGTGGAGTCCACTGGGGTCTTCACCACCATGGAGAAGGCTGGGGCTCAGCTGGAGCATGGGGTCAAGAGGGTCATCATCTCTGCTTCTGCTGATGCCCCCATGTTTGTGATGGGCATGAACCATGGGAAGTAGGACAACTCCCTCAAGATTGTCAGCGGTGCCTCCTGCACCACCCACTGCTTGGCCCCTCTGGCCAAGGTCATCCATGACAACTCTGCCATCATGGAGGGACTCATGACCACGGTCCATGCCATCACTGCCACCCAGAAGACCACAGACAGCCCCTCTGGGAAGCTGTGGTATGATGGCTGAAGGGCTGCCCAGGACACCATCCGTCCTGCTACTGGTGCTGCCAAGGCTGTAGGCAAGGTCATCTCTGAGCTGAACAGGAAGCTCAGTGGCATGGCCTTCCATGTCCCCACCCCCAATGTGCCAGTCGTGGATCTGACCTGCCACCTGGAGAAAGCTGCCAAATATAACATCAAGAAGGTTTTGAAGCGGGCATCAGAGGGTCCCCTCAAGGGCATCCTGGGGTACACTGAGGACCAAGTTGTCTCCTGCGACTTCAACAATGACTCCCACTCTCTCACCTTCAATGATGGGGCTGGCGCTGCCCTCAATGACCACTTCGTCAAGCTCATTTCCTGGTACAACAATCAATTTGGCTACAGCAACTGGGTGGTGAGCCTTATGGTCCACATGGCCTCCAAGGAGTAAGAGCCCCCTTGTACCAGCAACCCCAGTGAGAGCAAGAGGAAGAGAGAGACCTCAGCTGCTGGGGAGTCCTTGCCCCAATTCATCCCCCAACATACTTATAATCTCCTGACCTCTACAGAGTTTCCATCCCAGAACCCCATGAGAAGGGGAGCGTTTGGGGAGCCCTACTTTGTCATGTACCATCAATAAAATGGCAAAAAAAGACAAAGTTGATTTCTGGTGCAGGGGTGGGTGGTGAGGTGATGGGAGAGAGAAAAATCAAATTGAGTTATATGGAGACTATACACCACAAATGGAATCAGTAAATAGATTGGGCCTATAAACCTCCATCAGGGGAACCCTGAGCAAGTGACTGAGCCTTATTTTCCTCATCTACAAAATGGAAAGAACATCTGTCCTTTCTATTTCAAAACATTAGGGGGAGAATAACACTAAATTTCACATGTAAAAGTGCTTTGTAACCTGAAATTATTACTTCATCACTGGTATTTGGAGAGGAAGTACTTTGTTACACTACAGAAAATGTACTTGCCCACAGCTGAGTATGCTTTAGGAAACTGGTGAATACTTACTGAATTGTCTGGAGAAAAACAGAACCAATACCTTTGGTAAAACAAAACCGAGAAGAAATCCAGCATGGGGATGCCTGACAAGATGATCCCTTTCAGAGTTTAAAAAAATATATGCTGGGGAAAAGAAGAAGGCATGAGAAACCTCATCCCTCACATATGCTTTCATAAGCACGAGACAATCATCTTCAGGAAAATGAATACGTGTTGAAGACATGCAATGACTCTGCATCTATACTATACATTATCTATCACGCACAGACCGCCAGTGAAATGTTCTTCGTCCCCTAGTTCAACTGCCTTCTCTCTTTCCACAAGTAGAGCAAGGACACAAACCCAAGGCAGCACAACAGAGAGCAACACTGTCAATTACAGCAAAGGTTTAGGATCCAAAGTTAAGCTTCCCACAAAATATCTAGCTTGGCCTCTTAACTCCAGAGACTCTAAGGGCTGCACAAGGCAACAGATGAAAATGCTTACACATTAAACTCAATGACAAAACTCAAGACGACACTAATGGCTCGTGTCCAAACTATAGAAATCCTTTATTTAGTTTGTATCATCACGAGGGAAGGGAAATTTTCTGATAATGGATATTCACCCCTGAGTACCATAAGGCTTTTTAAAAATACTGTTCTGAATATAAATCTTATCAATTATTTTTCATTCCTCCCTGTCTTCTTGAAGAGTCTTCCTTAACATTAATCTGGCCTTTTTATTTTTAAAGGTATCAATATAAACATCTGCTACCATCCATTGCTATTTATAGCTACACCCTCGGGTATCAGGTGTCTGTCCCTTACCAACCAGAGATCCTAGATGGTCGTATTTTAATTTTTCTAACTCCCCATCAGCTGTCACTTGACAGTATTCATCAGCATCATTCCTACCTTTTGCCTCATTTTACACTTAGTCCATGTCGGTGGCTCGAAGGGGCTCCTAATAAAGGACAAGTGCATGGGCTCTGTGGGTCCCCAGCTGCTCTGAAAGGCGTTAGTTGCTTCAAATGCAATGTTCAGCTAAGTGAGGTCCTTCCACAAAAACTCAGTGTCAGGCACAATTTTTCTTACCTCCGTAACTGTAGAAAGCATCTTTTTCTTTCCTTCCAATTACAGTTCCCAGGATCTCTACCTGCTTTATTGGGTGCCCATTGTAAAAAAATACACCTGAAATTAAAAAAAAAAAAATCAGTCCTTGACAAATGGCAGGCCCCAAGAAATTCAGACGTCTTTTCCTTAAGGGTCCAAAGTAGAAAGTTTGGCTTTAATGAAGCTTGTCCTAATGCAGAAAAGAGAAAACCAGTGTTGCCCAACTAGATTTGGTTAATCTTTCCACTTGTGAAAATGAAATGTGCCTCCTTGTGGACCTCTCACAACGGGCCTGAAAACAGTCATTAGATTATGAGACGAAATCTATTTTGAGGGACTGCAAAAGGAAAGAGAGGAAATCACAAGAAAGGCTTCTTTGACTTCTCTACTAGCACTTTTCTAGGAAGCCAGTCATCATTTCTATGAATTAGCAGTGATTTTGTTGTTTTTTTTTAAAGAGAAGATAATTAGGTTACAAAATGCTGCTCTTTGGAGCCAGCAGATTACAAATCAAAAACTTCTCTCTTTAAAAAAAAAAATTATTTGAGAGAGAGGAAGAGCGAGCACGTGTGTGCAAGTGAATGGGGGGGGAGGGGCAGAGGGAGAGAATCTTCAAGCAAACTTCCCGCTGAGTGTGGAGCCTGATGCCGAGCTTGATCCCACAACCCATGAGATCACGACTTGAGCCAAAACCAAAAGTCAAGTTGGACGCTAAACCCACGGAGCTACCCAGGTGCCCCCCCCAACTTCTTGTTTTTAAAACTATTTTAAAACTATTTTCAAAACCCAGAGGACAGATGCCAGCAGGCAGGTTCCTGCCAGGGGAGAAACCTGAGAGGATAAACCTTACATTAATACCCAGAGGCTTGTTTTGGACCTGGGAAGGAAAACAGACAGAGGGACTCGGGCTGCAGGGAGTCCCTGATTCCACCCCCAGGTCCCAGTGCTGTCCTGCCCTTGCAAAGCTTCCCATCTGCGGCCCCCCAGCACCCTGACCCTTTTGGCGTAAGCTACTTGCATGTGCATCTGTCTCCTGCAGCTCATGAGTCCACACTAAAATCTTCTCCAGCCTGTTTTTCCTCCCATGATGGCTGAATTCTTTCCTTGCAGAAAGAGGCTGTAACCGTTTAAGTTAAGCAATTTCCTTTTTAAATAAAGATCTGACCTATAAACAAACATTCCTCAGCACAGACATTTGGCCACCTCCTCCCTCCCCTCCAAGCCTGGGGAGGTGGGGGTGGGACAGACCTGTGGCCTGAACCCTGATGCCCTTCAAAATCCCCAGACTGGCCTCCGCTGACGGCTCTCTTGTATCCCATGTGGATAAAGGGGCTGGGGACGAGTCACTCAAGGAGAGTCCCAGAGGATGTATATAAGAAGGCTCTGAGCCTCAGCCAGGTGAAGATTCTAGGAGAGTGAGATGTGGTTGGAAGGAAAACAATGGTGGCAAAGTTAGCTTAAAGAAGGGCCCTCTCCCTGGCAGGGCATCCTTCTAACGATGACTTGCTGGATTAGAGACCACGAGCACGGGGCAACTGTGGGGGCTGTGAGCTGAAATGGCAGGACCACACAAGGGAAGGAGCCGGAGTCACTGAGTCATCCCCAAAGGAGGGTCACCCCCTTCCAGGAACACAGGGTGAGTGGGTTCAAACTGGCTCCACAGAAAATCCATGCAATTTTAAGAGCAGGAGAGTTCCAATCGACTTCTCCTGAGTTCTTAGGATTGATATCCAGGTCCCTTAGTTACTACCTTTGGTGAGGCCCTTGGGGCCTTTGCCACCACCTGTCTGCCTGACCAAACACAAAGGAAAAAGGGTGACTTCAGAGGGAGAGCCCTGCAGGACTGCTGTAGGCAAGCTCAAGACATCCCGACCACAGGAAGAAGTCTAAATCGGGAGAATGAGCCTCCCCCTAGGGATGTGGGCACGGAGTCCTCTACTGAAGTGTACCCCAGCACCGTGCCCTGACCAATGCTCATGTGCAGAGAAGAACTATGGCATGGCACTGTTCGGGTCTGCTATAGGGCTGGGGGCGCTTGGAGAGGCCTGAGCTCCAGGCTGTTCTCTGGCTGCAGCCAGCCCTTTCTGCTTCCCCAAATGCACTGACAGGTAATAACACTTTCTATTTGTGCACTGGGCAGAGCAAAGTTAGAGAGAACCGTTTTCTAGAACCTGACTGGCCTCCCCTACCCCATCTCAATGGATGGTCTGTCCTGGTTGCCAGGCATTTCTTGGTATTAGAGAGAGAACACTCCACAGAGTTCCATGTGGTCAGTTGTGGCCCCCAGGACATTAGTAGTAGGAAGCGGAACGATGGAGGTCCCTGGACCCACTGGAGAGCCCACTGCCTATCCCGAAATGTCTCCCAGCAGGTCCTGGAGCCACTACAGGGTGCTCTGCTGGTGACGTCTGGAAACTCAAGACAGTCCCAGGACTCTTTGGGTTTCCCTGGGACACCCTGGTATGTGCTGCTATGGTAGTTTTTATAGTAAAGAGCCAACACACTTTGAGAAGGGAAACAGAGCTAGTCAAAAGGTGTTCTGCCTGGGTTGCAGCATACGAAAAAGGTGATAAGACAGGACTAATGACACAAGCCAGTGAGGTCCTCAAGTCACCTGCGATGGAGGCCAATCCTCCAACGTTACAAACTGTGCTGGGCCACTCGACAAAAATCTGAACAGGTCTTCACTTGAGGACACAACAGACTTCCTAAAAAAAAAACACAGAGAACAGAGCCCCCTAAACTTTTATCTTCTAGACTGACAATGGCCGGCCTTCAAGGGCAGACAGAGTCACTCAAAGATGCAAAAAATCTTTCCAATCTCAAGGAATTGATGCAGAAAACATCTCCAAAGCGTCTCTGAACAATGGAGAACAAATTCAGAAGAAAATAACACATGGGTCGAATCAAAACATTCAGAGAGGACGCCTGAGTGGTTCAGTTGGTTGAACATCTGCCTTCGGCTCACGTCATGATCCTGGAGTCCCGGGATCAAGCCCCGCATCGGGCTCCCTGCTCAGCGGGGAGTCTGCTTCTCCCTCTGACCCTCCCCACTCTCATGCTCTCTCTCTCACATAAATAAATAAATCTTTAAAAAAAAAACATTCAGAGAAAATCAACTGAGGAGAAAACACACTGCCTGGGAATAGAGAAGACACGTGTCCACGTGTAGAGAAACATGAACCACACGTATCAGGAGCGCAACTGAGCAGATGGCGGCCAGAGGTATGGACAACAATTGGAGAGGACCACTTCCTCCTATCAACACAATATTCTCTTCTATGACAAAAGAGCTAAAAAAAAAAAAAAAAAGTTGGATGGCGGCTTTGTTGACTGAAAGCAAGCTCAGGAAGCAAAGAACAGAAAACAACCCAAACGGGGTGCCTGGGTGGCTCAGTCGTTAAGCATCTGCCTTCGGCTCAGGTCATGATCTCAGGGTCCTGGGATCGAGCCCCACATCGGGCTCCCTGCTCCGCGGGAAGCCTGCTTCTCCCTCTCCCACTCCCCCTGCTTATGTTCCCTCTCTCGCTGTGTCTCTCTGTCAAGTAAATAAATAAAATCTTTAGAAGAAAAGAAAACAACCCAAACAACAGATTCTGGCTGATTGGGAGTTCCAGCTACAGCCTTCCCCACATGGTCCTTCAGGTCCTGCTGCCTTTGTTCCACACACAGCCCCCCGACGCCAAAACATACCCGGGGATCCCCCGGACCATGAGGTCCCCAGGAAGGAGGAGGGTCAGGCAGCAAGGGTTCAGGGACCCAGGGTCACACACGCAGGTTTGATTCGGCTCTCACATCAGCCCATCCCCGGGCAGCCACCGCCACGGTAAGACATTTGCCTGGTTCCTCTCTTTTAAAAGTACTTTTGATTTATTTCTTTTTAGTCTGTCATTATTTAATTGATGTCTGATAGTACTCAAATGCCTAAGATACTATTTTTCATATAATTCTTATGAATTTCCACTTCATCGGACCCTCTAGAATTAAATAAGTATTGTATTTTCATTTAAGCAACAGATTCACTATCCCATTATTAAAGTCTGACACAGATATTTAGAATAATAAAGATTATTTCTGTATGCTATAAACAAAAAGATAAAACAAAAGCGACCCCAAAACTGGGGCACCTGGGTGGCTCAGCTGGTTAAGCAGCCAACTCCTGATTTCGGCTCAGGTCATGATCTCGTGGGTGGTGAGATCGGCAGGCTCCATGCTCAGCAGGGAGTCTGCTTGAAGATTCTCTCCCTCTGCCCCTCCCCCAACACTCACACACACTCTCTCTCTCTCAAAAATAAATTTAAAAAAAAGACCCCAAAACCACCACCACCACAAACTTCATAAGATTTTTTCATAATTTTTTTATTTGTTTAACACTAAAACTGCAGATTAATTTAGAGGAGTTGACATTTTGCAACCATTTTGCAAGGCAATTCTGACGCATGGCAAATACACAGAGTAAGGTCAAATTTCAAGTTAAGGGCACAGTCTCCCACAAAATTGCTTTTTTCACTCACCAGCCCTGAATTTGGGCATTCTCAGGCCACCCACCCTTCTGACCAACTGGCTACAACTTCAGGGGGTCCTACAACTCTCTCAGCTTTGGCAATTTGTTAGAATGGGACACAACTCAGGAAGGTACTAGACTTATGACTATAGTTTCAAAATGAAGGGTACAAATCAGGATTCACTAACTAAAGAGATGCACTGGACAAGGTCTGGAGGAATCCAAGCACAAAGCTTCCACAGTCACAGAACTCATCACCCTCCTGACAAATCAATGTATGATTACCAACCAGGAAAATTCACCTGGGCCTTGGTGTCCAGAGTTTTTATTCGGGTTTCATTACGCAGGCATGACTGAATCATTGGCCAAATGACAACTCAATCTCTAGCCCTCTCCTTTCCCAAGGTGTTGGTCTGATGTCACCTGGCTGGAAATCCCAGTCCTCTAATCACTTGGTGTTCTTTCAGGCATGGACAACCCCTATCCCCAAACCAAACCAAAAACAACCATGAAAACAACACAGAAATAAAAACCCAGACTAGGGGAATTTCCCACCCCTAGAGCCCTACAGTATAATCTCAAGAGGATCACTCTTGTGAATTTATGGTTGCTGTCTGCTTCAAGCATAATGTTTCATTTTAAAAACTGTTAGAGTCAGCAGTTAGTTAGGTTTTTAACAGGATGCCTGGAGGCCAGCAAAGGGGGAGTCATGGCTAGCTACTGGGGAAGGTCAGAGACCTCTCCTGGCAGCACTCCAAAAACAAAGCCATAAGAAGCTGGATCAAACCAGACAGGCTCAAGACAAAGAAGGCCAAAAACCTGGGCCAAGTAAGGGAGAAAAGGCACAAAACCCCACTCCTCCAAAAAAAAATCCCTCCCCAAGTAATAAATATTATACCCCCTAATTAACAACTGTCAGTAAAAGAGAGGAACCCAAAACTTGGGGTGCAGCTCTCCCTTGAGCTCTCCTGCTCTCACATCTTGAGAGTGTGCTCTCACTTTATTTTTTAAAATTTTATTTAAATTCAATTTATATTCAGAGATAGAGTTCATCAATTTATTGGTTACATACAACACCCAGTGCTCATCACATCACAAGCCCTCCTTAATGCCCATCACTCAGTTACCCCATCCCCCCCCACCATGCCTACCTTCTGGCAACCCTCAGTTTGATTCCTAAAGTTAAGTCTTTTATGGTTTTTTTCCCTGTCGAGAGTGTACTCTCACTTTAATAAACTTTCCAATTTGCACCGCTCAACCCTTGTGTCTGGTCTCTCCTTGAATTCTTTCTTGCAATGAGACCAAGAGCCTCTGGCAACATCCCTGGGAAGGGCTGGATGGAGGCCTCAGGGTCACAAGTCTCCCCAGTCCACCCGGCAACAAAAGCACATCTGAAACAGTATTACCAGTGACCGAGTAAAGACCATCAGGATCCGTTTTCCTTGGTTGGCTGTTAATACATCATAAAGTCCTTTACCCACAGGAAGAGTTAAGCCCCTATCATGCCCTGATATTTCCCTGAGCACCTCCATAAGACCTTTATTTCAAATGCAAGACTGGCATTTGGTGTGAATTGCTTTCTTCCTGAGACGAGCTATGAGAATACCAGCCTGTTCTGGAAAATGGACAACTGTGGGGGAGGACGGCTGCCTTCCAAGAAAAAAAACATAAAACCAAACACAGACCATTTCCAACAATAATTAAAAAACCAAGGTGTGGTGAAAAATCTGCACAAAAGGCTTTAGAATAAGGTCATCCAAATATATTTGTACATAGAACTGGAAACATACAGAACATCCTCTCATTAAAACTGTGCATACTTGAGCTTCTTGACTGACTCACAGCTTGCTATTCATTCAAAATAGCAAAGAGTTTAACCAAACTTCTCACATAGCACAAGCATGTGAAGATCCATACACAGCTATGTGAATTATTTAAATCTACCCCAAATTATATTTGTTACGTTTTTAGGTATGAAGAACCTATCTTTAGTAACCACCATTTAAAACAAAAAAAAAAAGTGATTTCTTTAACTTTACATTTATAATGCTTTGTTGCTCCAATTACTATTTTTTTGAGGGCCCACCACATGCCAGGCACTGTTCTAAGCAGTGGAATTATGTAGATGAATAAGGCATATGTCTTTCCTCTCAATGAATTTATATTGTTTGGTTCTGATTAACAGAAAACAAAACAAAACCCCACAAGAAAATCAGGCCTGGTTAATCCCCATTTTTACAAAGATGACATCTAAGCTTTGCAGGTGAGTCACATGCCCAGGCCAGGTAAGAGGCACTGTTAGGAAAGGGAACAAGGTTTAGAAACGTCTGGTCCAGTGAGCTTTCCACCAAGAGCTGTTCCAAAGAAAAATAACTGAGCATGTTAAAATATGAAAGACCTCAACGCCAGACAAAAAAACCCAAAAAACAAACAAACAAAAAAACCCATTCCTGGGTACAAAGGTTACTTCCCCAAGCACTTATTTTAAAAATAAAAATAAGATTTAGACTTTTGAACTTGCACAGAAATATATTCATTCGAGAGTCCACGCTAGGTCATTTTCAGAGCCTGCAGCAAGGAAGGCTCTCCTGAAAGCCACCAAGCCCCAACTTCCGGCAGCTTTGGAGAAAGAAGGGTGAGGGGCAGGTGCAGCACTGGGCATCCTCCAGGCCCACCAGCGACATACCTGGTACCTGGCGGGACTCCTTCAAGTCCAGGATATCCCCGATGTAGAGTTTTGCAAAGGCTAGAAACACAGGATCCAAACCCCACAAGAGGGAAGGGGTCTCCTCTTCACACTGGCTGGATTCAGGCTGCATCGGGAGGCTGGGGTTTGGCCTGCAGCCAACCCTGAAAGGCTCTGCGTCACTGAGTCAAGGATCTAGATGTGAGACCAAAAAAAAAAAAAAAAAAAAATCAGGATACAAGCTTTCAAGGGGTCACATCGGCCTGGCCCCGAAGCTGCTCCCCGGCGGCTATGCGGAACTCCGGGAGGGGTAAAAGCAGGGGTCCAGGGCCTGGCAAACTCACGCCACGGGCCTAGAGCAAAAAGGCATTCCTCGGGCGAAGGCCTGTGCGTTCCTTATGGCTCTCCCTCTGGAATCTCCTCTGCCCCACGGGAGTGTTTCTCCTTCCCCCCAACTACCAACTTCAAAACGCCTAAATGCTAACTTTTCACCTTGGGGAGCTACGTCCATACAGGCGTACCCTGAAACCGCTTTGATGGGCGGGGTCCGGAGAGGAATGGGCGCCCTCGTGGCCAAACACAAGGGGGTCAGAGTGGGTGGGTCTGTGCGTCGCTCGGCCCCCGCACCTTCCGGTCTGGGGATGAGCCTGAGAAAAGGAGGAAAACGGAAACGAAAAGCCGACCCGCTCGAAGCCCCTCCCGCCGCACCCCC